CCACTGGTCACGCTGGGCAGTTGAGCAGCTGAGAATGCCCTGCTCTTCTGGCTAGAAGTGGTCTTTAATATTCTTCCCCTCTTTCTTTCACTTTCCTTTCTGAGAAAAGAGCCTCCTCTTTCTTTTGTTTACCACTCCCCACCCTGCATTAGCGAAGGGCTTCTTATAAATCACCCAGATTCTCAGAAACACTTGAGCTCTTGACCAACCTTCCTGTTGAGACTGTCCAATGGGGGTGGGTTGGCTGGGGGGGGCCAGGTTGAGACCAATGAAACCCTCTTGAGAACCCAGCGATTAGCTGGTCATTGCATCAGCCACCCCTCACCCCACGCTGGCCTTCAAATAACCTCCCCACCCTCTTCCCGTTCCCCACCCTCAGCATCTGTGTGACCGTGTTTGTGTGTAGTTGTGGGCAGTGGAAAGAGAAACTGTAAATTCCCCGCATTGTTCACCGGGGCGGTGCAGTGTGGTGGAATGATCAGGAGTACGGGTGTCACAGACGCCTGGGTTTCAATCCCAGCTCGGACTGACCCGAAACCGTGGGCAAGGGTCACATCGCTTTTCTGCTTCCCCTCGGTTTCCTCATCCGTGAAATGGGCATGGAGAAGCCTGCTAACGTTACCACTGAGGGGACTAAGGGCAGCACTACGCAAAACCTCTGGCACATGGCAGGCGCTAAATAAAAATGGGGGCCTCTCTCCTCGGGAAAAGGAAAGAGGTGGAGACGATGGAAGGGCCGGTGCCAGGGGGAAAGGGAGACGGGGTGGGTAGGCAGCGCTCAGAGGAAAGGGGCGAGGGGTCTCTGGCAGGCTCCGAGCCCCTCACGGTGCCAGAACGCGGCGGGCAGCAAGCCGGGCTCTGAGGATATCCCCAGGAGGGCCAGGCCGTTGGGTGCCACGCCGGCGTCCCTCCATCACCCCCTCCCTTGTTCCCGCAATCCCCCCCGGGTTCACTCCCCTCGCTTACCCGGCGCCCAGCCGGGCCCGTCAGCGCTCCCGGCTCCGCCAAGGGTTTTCTCCTGGGCGTCCGTGGAAACGCCGTCCGGACGGAACAACTTCCGGCCCGACAGCGCCATCATTGGCTGTTCAAGCGGGGGCGGGGCAGAGGCCGCCACTGATTGGCTGGCGGCCCCGGCGCCGCGGCGGAACGCGACTGGACCTTGCTGTGTTGGCCGGTCTGCCTCCGGGAGAACGGAGCGCTTCCGGTGCGTGTGGTGAGTGGCGGGCCCCGGGCTGGAGGGGGCCGGGACTGGGCAGCGCCCGAAGCGCCCCGCGCCTTTTAACGCGGTCATCGCCGCTCGCTTTCCTTTGACTTCCTGTTCCTTCCGAAAGCGCTGTGCTTTGGACCCACCTTACCTCTTACTATTGACAACTCGGCTAACTCCCATTCATCCTTCAAAACCCATCTCTGGTCGTATCTTGTTTGTTACCTTCCTCGGTCTGGGGTCTCCGGGGGGATCTGTGTTTTGTGTTTAATTTCCACCAACACCAGACCCAGCGTAGGGTTTGACAAAGAATAGGTAATCAGGGAATATTTGTTGAATGGAATATCATATTTCTTTTACTTCCACATATCCCCTCTCCCACCTGTTTGCATTCCAGAAATATTTTTAGACGCTGGGCTTCTCGTAGTGAATCAAACACAGAAAGTTCTGTCCTCATGGGGCTGACATGCTGGTGGTGACTGTCAGAGCCACTCGCTCCTTCCTTGGACTCTTCAGTGCCGCTGCCTTCTCTTCCATCTGGCTGTCTCTGTTCCTTTTAATCTCTCACCTCTTCCGAGAGGGAGGACGGGCACCCTGGTGGTGGGAAGCTGGCGACATCCCTTTGACAGCAAGGAGTCGAGTGCAGTCGTGGGTGGTGCCTAGGCAGAGGAGTTGAGACTGGCCTCGGGACCAGGCTTAGTATTTAGAGAGCAGAAATACCAAATTATTTGCACTGCACAGTTCCATCAGTTTATAGTCTTTCATATTATATTAGTTCCATCTGAGATGAGCTAGCTGGCTGGCTTTAGAAGTTTTATTTAAACTTTGGCTTTGTATGTGGAAGTTGTTACCTGCCTGGAGTGGGCTGCGAACGGGGGCGGCATTACTAGAGGAGGCTGACTACAGACATTGATGGAATGATGCTGACTTGGCAGAGGCGAATGGTGCCATTTTGGGGAAAGGTGTGGAAGGGGTTGGGTGGTTGATTCCAGGGGACCTTGAAACCCATTGTCTAGCAGAAGAGATGGCTAATAGGCAGGCTGTATGGAATGACTTAGCAAAGGACTTGGAGGGAATCTGTTGATGCTGACCTGACTCCACCTGTTGGGGGATGGAGGAGTAGCTTGGCCTGTTTGTTTAAGGTGGGATGCACTGGGTTTTCTTGAAGCTGGTCTACTGCCTGAGCGTTCTGTGCTGTTTCACCGCGCCCTCTGCTGTTCTGGGTGTGCCTAGCATCCTTCTTTTTCTCTGGATTGTACTTGGTGCTAACAGCACAGAAGTAAAACATTGATCCAGGCCAAAGCACTTTTTTCTGGGAACTAATTGATAACAATTTATTGTGAACGATGGTCCAGAATTTCAGAAAGGATTTTTTTTAACAAGTAGAAATTCATTGCAGTGTGAATCTGTGTGTTGGGAGTGAAACGGGTGGACTTGTGTCATGCCTTCAGAATTGCTTCCAGTACTCTTGGGAGGACGGATAGATACCTCAGAACCTTAGCCTTGTGCTGTGGGCCTGTCTCTCCAGCTGACTGCTATGGAGATGGGATATCCGGGGGGAAGAATGCTCCAGGCAGAGAGAAAAGAGGGAAGGGCTGGAGTACAAGGGAAAGGATGCAGGGGATAGTGGCAGGCCTTTCCCACCGTGGATCCTGGACAGCTTTTGATTTAAATATTTTCAGACCTAACCTCATTCATGATGATGAGCCTATGTTCTTCTCATTTGTTGCTAATAAGCAGTGCAGCAGGTTTTCTTTATACATTTATCTTCATGGATTTATACATCTAGCAAACATAGGCTAGTATTTGTGTAGGATAGAGTTCTGCAGTGAGGCTGCTGGCGTAAAAATGATGTGTTGAAACTTTTAACACACATGGCCAAAATGGACCTTTCAAAGGCATTTTTAAAGTAGCCCTGGGTCTTTCTCTCTAGGCATTGTCTCTCCAGGCCTTTTTTTTTTTTTTTTTTGAGACGGAGTCTTGTTCTGTTGCCCAGGCTGGCGATCATGGCTCACTGCAACCTCCGCCTCCCAGATTCAAGCAATTCTCCTGTCTCCGCCTCCCGAGTAGCTGGGACTACAGGTGCCTGCCGCCATCCTGGCTAATGTTTGTATTTTTAGTAGAGACACGGAGTTTTGCCATATTGGTCAGGCAGGTCTTGAACTTCTGACCTCAAGTGATCCACCAGCCTCGGCCTCCCAGAGGTCTGGGATTATAGGTGTGAGCTACTCTATCCAGCCCTGGTCTTCATTTATGTTCTTCAATAAAAGTTTTAGTTTTCTTTTTTTTTTTTTTGGAGACGGAGTTTCGCTCTTGTTACCCAGGCTGGAGTGCAATGGCGCGATCTCGGCTCACCGCAACCTCCGCCCCCTGGGTTCAGGCAATTCTCCTGCCTCAGCCTCCTGAGTAGCTGGGATTACAGGCACACGCCACCATGCCCAGCTAATTTTTTGTAGTTTTAGTAGAGACGGGGTTTCACCATGTTGACCAGGATGGTTTCGATCTCTTGACCTCGTGATCCACCCGCCTCGGCCTCCCAAAGTGCTGGGATTACAGGCTCGAGCCACCGCGCCTGGCCAAAGTTTTAGTTTTCTTTCCTTTTTTTTTTGACATGGAGTCTCCCTCTGTCGCCCAGGCTGGAGTACAGTGGTGCAATCTCAGCTCATTGCAACCTCTGCCTCCCGGGTTCAAGAGATTCTCCTGCCTCAGGCTCTCAAGTAGCTGGGATTCCAGGCATGTGCCACCAGGACTGGCTAATTTTTGTATTTTTAGTAAAGACGGGGTTTCATTATGTTGGTCAGGCTGGTCTCAAACTCCTGACCTCAAGTGATCTGCCCACCTCAGCCTCCCAAAATGCTTGGATTACAGGCGTGATCCACCATGCCCAGTCTTTTAGTTTTCTTCATGTAGGTCTTGCTTATTTTTTATAGATTTACCCCGAGCTATCGCATAGTATTCATTTCGAAAGTTGTGTCTTCTAACTAATTATGCCTGGTGTGTAGAAAAGCCTTTTGTGTGTGTATTTGTTTTATTTTATTTTTCAGACAAGAAAACCTTTTATTTTAAACCACAAATAGTCAGCAGGTGGCCATAACTATCCATGTTTCATTAAAGTCACATAAAACCTAGGTACAAAAGCACCACTGATTATTGCTCTAGAAAAACTGCATGAAAATTTCAAATATGCACAGTAAAAACACCACAGTATGCACAGGACGAATTTTTTTTTTTTTTTTTTTTTTTTAGACGGAGTTTCGCTCTCGTTACCCAGGCTGGAGTGCAATGGCGCGATCTTGGCTCACCGCAGCCTCCGCCTCCTGAATTCAGGCAATTCTCCTGCCTCAGCCTTCTGAGCAGCTGGAATTACAGGCACGCACCACCATGCCCAGCTGATTTTTTGTAGTTTTAGTAGAGACGGGGTTTCACCATGTTGACCAGGATGGTCTCGATCTCTTGACCGTGTGATCCACCCGCCTCGGCCTCCCAAAGTGCTGGGATTACAGGCTTGAGCCACCGCGCCCGGCCCAGGACGAAATTTTAAAGCAAGTGCATGGATGCTGAATCAATCTGACAGCTTCCAATATGAAACTGGTATTTATTTTACTTGAGGATGATGTAAATTTCTTAAAAGCATGACTATGAGAGGGTAAAATGTCCATCCTTATAGATTTTTGTATGCTGACTAGTAGAGTCCTAAAAAATTAGCATTTACGAAATACTTGGTAAAAATAGCTTTTAAAAGTTGTCCCAAGAGATACATAAAATCAACCCCAATTTTTCATGACAATTCATTCTTCCTTGTTATCCACAGATTCAGTTTTCTGTGCCTTCTTTTCCAGCTTCCTGCTTTTCCTCCTTCTCCCCTTTAGCACCTCTGCTAATCTTTGCTCCAGGTTCTTTCTTAGAAGATGTGTTTCTTGGTTTGGGTTCAGGTTTTGGTGGAGCAGGTTTCGCTGACAATCTGGCAGACCGTCTTGTGGGCTCCTGGTTAGTTACTTTGGATCCATCTTTGCCCTCTGCATTCTTTGGAGACTTTCTCTTCGGCACAGTGACTATGTTCGTGAAGCAAAAGTAAAGCAACCAGCTGGAACTGCTGGCACTGCTGCTGGATGCTGCCTCTGCTGCGGCAGCTGCTCACGCGAGGAAGGGCATGGCATAGCCTGGCCTCTTTTTTTTTTTTTTTTTTTTTTTTGAGATGGAGTCTTGCTCTTGTTGCCCAGGCTGGAGTGCAGTGGTGTGATCTTGGCTTACTGCAACCTCCACCTCCCAGGTTCAAATAATTCTCCTGTCTTAGGCTCCCAAGTTGCTGGGAATGCAGATGCCTGCCACCCCGCCCAGCTAATTTTTGTATTTTTAGTAGAGATGGGGTTTCATCATGTTGGCCAGGCTGGTCCTGAACTCCTGACCTCAGGTGATCTGCCCGCCTGGGCCTCTCTAAGTGCTGGGATTATAGGGGTGAGCCACTGTGCCCAGCCTGTGTTTGTTCTTTTTTTTTTTAAGACAATGGAGTCTTGCTCTTTCGCCAAGGCTGGAGTGCAGTGGCAGGCTCTTGGGTCACCACAGCCTCCGTCTCCTGGGTTCAAGCCATTCTCCTGCCTCAGCCTCCTGAGTAGCTGGGATTACACGACACGCCACCACACCCAGCTAAGTTTTGTATTTTTAATAGAGACGGGGGGGTTCACCATGTTGGTCAGGCTGGACTTGTACTCCTGACCTCGTGATCTGCCCACCTTGGCCTCCCAAAGTACTGGGATTACAGGTGTAAGCAACCGTGCCTGGCCAACCTGTGTTTATTTTTGTGAGTGTTGAATTGTTGGATTTCCTAGGTGACATGTTTTCTTATAACTACACACATATTCTTCCATGCACATTTTCTGATACGTGACTTTGTTTGATCTTAGGTGGTTTGGTTTTGAAGGACAGCAAGAACTCTGTCTTTAATGGCTTCGTTGGTAGCTTATGATGATTCGGACTCGGAGGCTGAGACAGAGCCTGCAGGAAGTTTGAATGCCATGGGCCAGGTGAAAGACACTTCTGGTACGGCCAGACCGCCTGGGCAGGATTTTGCATCTGGTACACTGGATGTACCCAAAGGAGGGGCACAGCCCACAAAGCATGGCTCTTGCGGGGACCCAGGCGGCCATCACCTCCCACTGGCTTGGCTTGGGAGAAGCGATCGGGGATCTTGCCCTAGCCAGAGGCTACAGTGGCCCGGGAAGGAGCCTCAAGTCACCTTCCCCACCAACGAGCCTTCTCATTCTTCTCTGTGGACGAGCCATGTTCCAGCCAGCCACATGCCCCTGGCAGCTGCACGCTTTAAGCAAGTAAAACTCTTCAGGGACTTTTCCAAGTCATCTTTCCATGCTCAAAGTGAGTCTGAAACCGTAGGTAAAAATGGCAGCTCTTTGCAGAAGAAGTGTGAGGACGATGTCGTACCCTATATCCCCAAAAGACTAAGACAGCTGCCTGCGTTACGCATGGAAACAGGCAAGGCTAACGAGGCGGAGCCACAGGGGCGCCCTGCAGGGCGGGCCCCAGCCCCTCTTTGTGTGGCCCCCAGAGTGTCTGAGTTTATTCAGCCATATTTGAACAGCCATTATAAAGAAACCACGGTTCCGCGGAAAGTGCTCTTCTACCTGAGAGGCCATAGGGGCCCTGTCAACAGCGTTCAGTGGTGTCCAGTGCCTTCTCAGAGCCACATGCTTCTCTCCACTTCCATGGATAAAACTTTCAAGGTAAGACTTGAGTGAAAACTTCCGCTTTCAGATGGTCTTAGGAATACACTGCTGGAGTAACAGTGAAGCGGAAGGAGGTTACGGGCTGAACTTTTGTGTGTGTGTAGATTTCTGTAATTTTCTTTGTTGCATCCAGAAAATGGTCATCTGTGGTCAGCCCAGGGTCGTGAGTCCCTCCTGCCCCACCCCTTCCCTGATGCTGCTTTGCTCAGGTCGCCAGAGGATACTGCTCCTTATCCCTCTCGGAGGTCGTGAGAGTGATTAGTAGGAGAAGAGAAGCAGGCCCAGGACCAAGCCCTGGGGACTGGGGACATCCTCTGTGACCCTATGGAGCACTGAGCCATGCCAGCTCTGTGCCCAGTGCTATGCGGGTTTCAGGAGCTGTTGGGAGTGGCAGATAGACCCGGCCCCGGGTGTTAGGCTTGTGCAATGTGGCAGGAGCCATTGACAGGTAGACAAATGCAACCCTGGGCCCTGAGGATAGGTCCCCCAGTAGGACACACAGGTGCTCTGGGAGCCCAATGGGAGGGGCCCAGCCTAGTCCAGGAGGGCTCGGCAAAAGCCTCCTGAGGGAGGGGAAGGTTTGCTTGGGGATGGGGGCAGGAGGGCGCGTTGGCTGCAGGAGCCTTGTGTATGCATCGGCTCTAAGCATGAGGGCCTGGGAGCTGGCTTCAAGCATGAGCGTGTGAGGGACTGGAGGCCGGGGAAGCAAGGTCAGGGAGGGTTGCACATGTTCTTCTAGAGACTTCCAGTTTTACATGGAAAATCCTTTTTGCATTGTCTTATTTATTTTCCAGTCTACTGAAGTAATAGTAATGCGTCCCCACAGTATGCAGGTACAGTGTGGTGGGTCATTGTGCCCGCTGGGGACCTGCCTCCAGCCCTTCTCGCTGTGCAGTGCATCCCTCCTCTCTCTCCTCGCAGCTAGCAAAGCACCTGAAATGTAGCGGGTGCCAGTTAAATGCCAACTGAACAAAAAGCTCTTGGGAAGGAAATACCTTTGAGGGACTTGGCTTCACATCAGCTTTGCTGCAGAGTAGCTAGCTGGTTGACCACTGGCCTGGCCACCTTCCCGTGGAGTCTGGTGTCTCCTCTGTAAAAGGGCAGAATCATACCTGGTCATGTGCTCATATGAGAAAAATGCTGGAAAAGTGCCTTGCACAGAGCTAGGTACCTCATAGGGGCTCAGTAAATGGTGGTTCCCTTGCCCTTGCTTCCTCAGAGTTCTGGAACCAACTTTCCTAGATCACTTCATTTGCAAATTACGTTTTGAGCTTTTCTCCCTAGGAAACATTTTTTAAAGTGAAGAAAGGAAGCTCCAAGTATAGAGATGTCTTTGAAATGAGCCGAGTTGATAGGTGTCATTTTTTTGTTGTTTTTTGGAGATGGAGTCTCACTCAACTGTTGCCCAGGCTGGAGTGCAGTGGTGCAATCTCAGTTCACTGCAACCTTTGCCTCCTGGATTCAAGAAATTCTCCTGCCTCAGCCTCCTGAGTAGCTGGGATTATAGGTGTGTGCCACCACTCCTGGCTAATTTTTGTATATTTAGTAGAGATGGGGTTTCTCCAGGTTGGTCAGCCTGGTCTCGAACTCCTGACCTTGTGATCTGCCTGCCTCGGCCTCCCGAAGTGCTGCGATTACAGGGGTAGCCACTGTGCCCGGCCTGATGGGTGTCATTTTTAAATGGCAAATTGTAGTCTTGAAGTGGCTTGTCTGTGCTCTTTTCTGGCAAGACTCATAGAGTCCTGGGGGAAAGAAAGTCATATTCTCTCTTCAGCCTGGCGTTCTGGGATTTTCACTCAGGTTTTTGGTGCTTTTCCTGCAACACTGGGTACTGTGAAGTGTGTTTGAAGGCTTCTGGCATCCCTGGTGTGGGTCACAGAGTGCTGGTATTGACCCTGTGGTCCTGGGGCTTCTCTGCTTTCTTTCCCAAGTCTGTGCTGCAGGGGCTGGAGAGTGGGGAACCCATTGGAGGGTTGCTGGTGGGCCTGGGCACTGTCTGGCTGGCCCTGGAGTTTGAGTGGTGGCCCTTGTCCTCCGGGCACTCGCCTTCCTGTTGAGGGGGAAACTTTCTTTCCTCCATGCTTCTGTCATGCCCCACCCTCTCGAGGGTCCCCTCCCTTTACTTTCCTGCCTGTTAGGTACCTGCTCCACAGCCGATGCCCAGCCTGGAAAGTCATCTTCTCTGAAAAGCTCCCCATTGGATCCAGTGAATACGTGTTTAGTGGGCTCTAGCTTTGTGCAATGTCCTGTTTTAGGGGCTGGAGAAATAGCAGTGATCAAGACACGCAAATCCCCCCACGTGGGAATTTGGCAGGTTGGCAGGGTGTCCTCACGTCAAACCTCTCACTTCTGGGTGTCCTCATGACTGTCCGCTGTTTGAATGTGCTGCTCCCCGCTGCTGCCTGTGGGCCCTGGGAGCTGGGCCCAAGGCCTCCTGCCCTTGTCTCTTGTTGCAGGGGTGATTGCAGCCTCACTTCTTGGGTCAGTGCCGTGGAGCAGTGGATGGGCTGGAGTTGGAGTGAATGGTGGCGTCCAAGGTGCCCAGTCTAGGTGCTGGCATGTGGCAGGGACTTTGTGGAAGGTAGTCCTGGCTGAGGGGTGGTACTCAGAGGGAGGGAGAGGGCAGCCAGGCCGATGGCAGCACAGGCTGGAGGAGAGGTTAGTTATAGGCAGAGATGGGTGGTATGCCCTCCACTCAGGGCACTGCCTCCTGGAGAGATGTGGGGTGGCAGGTGTGTCCTGGTGGATGCCCACCTGCCTCCTCGCCTCCAGAGTCCTCTGTCCTGATGGTGAGGAGCAGATCTGGAGCCCTGTGGGACTGGCTTCCATCCGGTGTTGTCAAGTGTTCTCTGGGCCCTGCTGGCAGGGAGGCAGCTTGGGTCACTTTTGCCTGGGAAATTGAGACTTCCTAAACAGAAGCATCCTCATGTTCGTTTTTGAGCAGAGAGCACCTGAGTGGAGGCACTGATTTTTGGCCTTTTGGAGTATACGTGGATGTTGGGATATGTTTCTGCCCCCATGGGGTGGAAGCTGTAAGCAGCCAACTAACTGTGACACCTCATGACCAGAAGAGGGCGCAGCTGGCCCAGCTTGGAATAACAGCGAGGCAGTTCAGACTGAGGGACTGTGGTAGGAATTCCTGCTCCTGGGCTGGGAGTCAGAGACCTGGGTCGAGGTCTGTGGGGCTGCACTGGGTGGGGCCAGGGTCCGCTGCTGTGCCCGCCTGTCCCGGGGAGATGGTGTGCGCTGCAGCTGATGACGCTGGCACTGGCCCCTTGGGCTGCCAGACAGCTTCCAGGAGTCCCCCCACCACACTGTGCACCCTGGGTGCCTTCCCAGGGCAGAGCACTCTGCTGTCGTGAGGCCGGGCCGGGGCCAGCATGGCTGCTGGGGTCGGCATCTCCTGACCCTCTTTTTACTGTGCTGCCATTAACATCAGGCTTTTATAAGCCATAGATATAAACGGTGGGCCAGGGCTCTCTCTGTTTTAAGATATTTGACAGTTTTCAGTGATGGGGTTATTTGGCAAATTGCGTTTGGGCAAATTGACTTTGAGCAACTTTTCAGTGTGAAGAGTGTGTGGCAGGGGCTGGAGGAGCTAGGATGGGAAGACAGATTGGGAACTGGGTGAGAGCCGGGCGGGAGTTGTGGACAGAAGTCCTGGCTGAGGCCTCAGGCTTGCTGGGCCACCAGGTTTGTGTGTGGCCTGGCTGGGCGGCGTGTGGTGTTCTTTTCTCTCCTTGGTGTCAGAGGTGGGGCAGCATGGCAGATCTTGAGGACCTGGTGACCTGGGGAAGGCAGTGTGTGGGTATGGGTGGCGGGTCTGGAGTGGGGACAGGGCCTTGGGTGCAGGCAGGAGTCCTGGGTGGCTGCAGCCTAGTCCCTGGAGGAGAGCAGGTGGTGAGTGCAGTGGGAATGAGCTGGAAGAGGCTGGTGCAGCAGCGTACTCCCCAACTCGGCGCTTCCTTCCCAGGGTGCTTTCTCCCTGCTTTTTGGTTAAAATCTGCCAGAGTGCCTTCTGGGCCCCTGCTGGATCAGGAGGGAGGGAAGAGCTTGAGGGCGGGGTGACAAGACCTGGTTGGGCCCTTCCTCTGTGGCCAGCCCCTGGCTGTCTGGTCTCTGGCAAGTTACCT